TTATAATTATAAGCACAAAAACAGAAATAAATGGTGTTAATATGGAATAATAAAATCATCTGTCGAGTATATCCGTGACTAGTAAAAAACCACTAACGCAATAATTCATTTCTGGTTCTAATATTTGATGATGGTGGCATTTTATTCAAAATAATAAACTACTATGTGAACATAAGCTCCCAAAAATTTATTTTTAACAGTTTTATAGATTAACTAACCGCGCTATTCAAATTTCCCACATTCTCCTCATGTCCCACATTAAAAATGTAGAAAACATGTGCAAGTGCATGAGCAATATAAAAGAGGTAGGCTGTTCACAAAGAAAAGCATACCTTTCTCGGCCTTTTGGCTAAGATCAAGTGTAGTATCTGTTCTTGTCAGTTTAATATCTGATACGTGAGCCAATGGCTCACACGATATTAACTTAATTTTTTTAGGGTAAGGATTCACTGATGTAGCTTGCTGCTTGGGTCTTTGAGTGTCGCCTTGGCTTTGCACTATTGCCTTGACCTGGCAAACCCCACCAATTCTAGTCCATCATTTTAGTTTTTATGATTATGATCACTCCTAGAAATCAAGAATGGAGAACAAGTCCTATGTGCGTAGTCATAGAAGAAATCATAGATTCCAAAACTAGTCATAGTATGTAGCATTGCACATTATTAATTACAAACATTTTCTTTCCGGACTTTTTGATTACAAACATTTTCTTTCGGATGACTTTTTGTTTTTCCAGCAGTCTAATCTGTATATGCAGATAGATCATATGTGCATAGTAGAGTATATAAACTAATAATTATAAGCAATGCAAAATAATTTGTTTCCACTGTTTGCTCAAGTCCCAAATAAATGGTGATAATATGGAATAATAAAATCATCTGTCGAGTATATCCGTGACTAGTAAAAACAACCACTAACGCAATAATTCATTTCTGGTTCTAAAATGTGATGATGGTGGCATTTTATACATAATAGTAAACTAGTATGTTAACATAAGCTCCCAAAAATTTATTTTTAACAGTTTTATAGAATAACTAGCCGCGCTATTAAAATTTCCCACATTCTCCTCATGGCCCACATTAAAAATGTAGAAAGATTGTGCAAGTGCATGAGCAATATAAAAGAGGTAGGCTGTTCACAAAGAAAAGCATACCTTTCTCGGCCTATTGGCTAAGATCAAGTGTAGTATCTGTTCTTATCAGTTTAATATCTGATACGTGAGCCAATGGCTCACACGATATTAACTCAATTTTTTTAGGGTAAAGATTCACTGATGTAGCTTGCTGCTTGGGTCTTTGAGTGTCGCCTTGGCTTTGCACTATTGCCTTGACCTGGCGCACCCCACCAATTCTAGTCCATCATTTTAGTTTTTATGATTATGATCACTCCTAGAAATCAAGAATGGAGAACAAGTCTTATGTGCGTAAGCATAGAAGAAATCATAGATCCAAAAACTAGTCATATTATGTAGCATTGCACATTATTAATTACAAACATTTTCTTTCTGGACGTTTTGATTACAAACATTTTCTTTCTGGACGTTTTTCCAGCAGTCTAAAGAAATTTGTAAGTTAATTTTTACTATATCATTGTAACAATATCTATTGTAACCATATATTTTAAATTATTTATTATCATCTGCTGTTGACAACAATTGTAGCATTTGTCATTGACAAACTCTCAAAACAATTTGTTTCAACAAGGAATGGAAATAAAAACAAAATCATTTATTTCATTATTGTTGATGAAAAGTATGTACGACATTTTATTACTCTTATTAAATTAAATAAAAGTAGCTACAACAAAAAATAATACATATGCATTTAATTAATTTAGACTTAGATTTCTATAATGCTTTATTTAAAAAAAAATTATTCGTTATAAAAGTTTTTAAAAGAAATATAATTTCATTAGTTATATTATCTTTATTTTTTATAATTCAAGATTCCTTACCTTCAAATTTATTAATTTATTATATTCACTACATTGTCCATTGTTTTCTTTTTACATTATCTTATAATTAAATATCAAAGTTATAATACAAATCATGTTATATATATTTATTTACCAAGTAATTTACACAAATATAATAAATATTAATATTTTGTTCAGTACTTTCACATGATAACCTACGACACACATCTCACAACACATGAAACATGTAGGGGAAAAACTACCACTACTAAATATCAATAGGTGTTTGTAAGATAAAAAATTCATATTACGACTAAAATTTCAGTCATATACACATTAAGACAAATCTAAAGCTTCCTACACCATAATCTCATTGCATGATGAATCCATCTATGCTGCCACCAATAACCTAATTTCACATGACACACTACCAATAAATAAATAAATAAATAAAAAGATAGGACATGTACTGAAGATAAAAACGATGACCATGCTACCCAAATTAGAATTAAGAAGAATAGACAAATTTAAACTAAAAGTTGTATTTATTTAGACTATCGCTTTAAGACTATGTATTTAGACTAACGTTATTACAAAGTTGCAAACATTTATTTTAGTGACAATTATAATCAATCTCTCATATATTCAGGGACGGTGCCAGAAATTCGGTTGAGGGGGGGCGAAGAAGTAGGGACGGATTCAGGAATTTTTTTCAGTAAAGGTTAAACATTAAAACAAAAGAGATAATTTAAAAAAAAAAAATAAACACATCTCATTATCAATATAAAAGAATGTTATATATATGCGTGTGCATTAATTATTAAGAAGCTATTTAAAAGGTGACTGTGTTGAAATTATAGGGAAGGAGTAAAAAAAAAAAAAAAAAAAAAAAAAAAAAAAAAAAAAAAAAAAACTGTTGAAGCCAACTATAAAATCATGTTAATGCCAAGATTCAAACTCTTATCCTTTATCATACCTCAATATGTGCCCAACCAACTCCTCTAAATCAACTCTTGTTAATATTCAATAGTTTTATTGTACTAATACTAACACATGTACTATATATACATATATACATACAAAAATTATATATTGGCTCCGTCCCTGCATATATTATCTTGAATTTATATACTTTAAATTACCGATTTAAAAAAACAAATTCAATATTTATTTACTTATGCATAAACATCTCCTATATAACATTGCATTGATATACTTTAAAATATTTATTTAAAAATAATCATTGGGCATTATCCCATTCGCGCAAATCGCGTAAAAAAAAAAAAAAAAAAACTAGTTAAATATTAAGTGGTAAACGGTTAGGCGTCCAGAGTTAAGATTACCTAATCGTGGCTCTCCACTATTGTAAGAAATTAAATATTTTTCCTAGCATAGTGTCGGCTATGCCAACATAGGAGCAACATGTTACATTAAAATATTTTGATTTTCTTATTTTAATTTAAAAATGTAATGCAGTAGCACTTAAAAGCTTTACTTTTCAAGAAACCACTTAAGGTGAGAAAAGTTGAAGTCAATTCGACTTGTTACCAGTATGGTGGATTTGATTTAACTGAGTCCATTATATTGGCTAAGATGCCCCTTAAGGTCAGGTGGCAAATTATTGTGTGGACCATGGTTTACACAATGTTATGTAGATCATAACAAAAAGTACATTTTTAATATAGTAAATGTACATTATTTTTGTATTGAATGTACATTATACAATAATATAATGTACTCTCAGAACAAAAAAAAATGTACAAATACAATGTACATTATTTTTGTACCGAATGTACATTATTTTACAATAGACAAAATATGGTCCACACAATAATGATTGAGGTGAGGTTCAATGGGCCATGGAGCTCTGGTTTAATAAAATCGAATCGTGCATGAGATGTATTATATTGACAAGAGTTGGCCACTTACAAAATTTTCAAATTCTAAAGAGTGAATTTCATTTTTGGTCCTATTGTTATAGGGGCTTTTCTAATTTTAGTCCACCATAATTATTTTTGCCACATTGCGTCCACTATTATTTAAAGTGTTCCAATTTTAGTCCATTTAAGATTTTTCATGGACTAAAATTGAAAGATTTTTAATAATAGTGGACACAATGTGGCAAAATAATTATGGTGGACTAAAATTGGAATGACCCCTATAACAGTAGGACCAAAAATGGAATTCACTCAATTCTAAAAATATTTGCCAAAAATACGGAGTATTGAATAATAATAAATAAATAACATATAATTTAGAGGGATTCTATGTTTCAGTAAAGGGAAAATTATACCATAAAAGTTAAAAGGATGTTAAATAATGTACCTTCAGTATATTAAAAATGTACATTATGTCAGTTGTTCACCTTACCAGATGGATCATGGTCCATGGTATAATGATTGTCCGTAAAGATGGTGAATTGTTATACTGTTGACCATGATCCATGTTGTAAGGTAAATTGTTAACATGTTATTTTTAGTTTATTACATGTTATTTTTTGAAGATCTATTTCTAGTGTATTACCTAACACTTAAGCTGAGGGTTTTAGTAAATAAATAAATACAAGTCAATTTTAAAAATGTTACAAACTTTTAAGTTTACAATATTTATAAAAGTTACTCTGCCATTTTATCTTATTTTCCAATAACTCTCACCATTGATCTATCATATGAATGAATGAAATTATTCAATCCTTTTTACAATTATGATTTCAATATTTGAATCAAACACTCTCGTCGTAATCTTAGATGTTAATATCTTGGTCCATTCAACGGCATAGACCTCGGATCGCATCCCCAATGTGGGGAATAAGACTTCTGAAAAAAAAAATTAAAAAAAAAAAAAAACACTCAGATCACTACGTCACTCCTTATATAGAACTCGGGGACAACTAACCCAACCAAGTTAATTGGTAAAACTGTCATTTATTCCTTGCATGCCATATTGCTTGGCAACCGTAGGTAATCAGTTCCTGCTGCTCCGGTGTGTAATTCTGCATGACATTCCCCAACCAACAACCAAACACGGCTCTATAAATAGCCTCAAGAACAGACTAAAAGCACAATTTAGCTTAGAAATTAAACCCTTTTCTAGATTGATTAATTGAAGAAGACAAGTAGTGAAAAAATGGATGTTTTTCTCCTTTACTCACTTGTCTTCACAGTCCTTTACGTGTCCCTTTCCATCATTTACTTCATCACTAAGGCCAATACCTCAAACCCAAATGTCCCGCCGGGCTCCACCGGCTGGCCGGTGGTCGGAGAAAACATTGACATGGTGGTGTCCGGGCCGGAGAAATACATTTCCGACAGGATGAAGAAGTACTCGTCCGAGGTTTTCAAGACCTCGATACTTGGGGAGAAAATGGCCGTGTTTTGCGGCGCCGCCGGGAACAAGTTCTTGTTCTCCAACGAGAATACCCTCCTGACCACGTGGTGGCCGCAATCGGTGACGAAGCCGCTGCTGTGCCCCACCGCCGCCCAAAGCACCATCCAGAAGGTCACGCTTCTCAACCGGACCTTCATCCACGAGATTCTCAAGCCGGAGAATCTCAAACACTATATCCCCACCATGGATTCCATGGCCAAGGAACATATCGCCCAGGAGTGGGCCCCGCCGGAGAAGTCAAGGTTTAAGCTCTCTCTCTCAATAGCAAATTATACCATGGACATTGATCTACATGTTAATTGCATGTAATTAATTAATTACATTATTATGGACTCTCAATTGTTTTTTTTTACAATGTAGTAAAACACAAAGAGCAAATAATGCCTCCACTGAGGCTCGAAATCACAACCTCCCATATGTAGGGACGGAGCCAGGAATTCCGTTGAGGGGGTGGCGAAGAAGCAGACACGAATCCAGAAATTTGTTTCAGTGAAGGCAAAACATTAAAACAAAAGATATAATTTGAAAAAAAAAAAATCTAAGAAATATAGGTATAAATAAAACTTTATAAAAATATTCATAACAAAATATGAAACATAATTAATTTGATAAAATAGTTTGAATAAAAAAAACATTATGAATTACACACCTCATTATTAATATAAAAAAAAATGTTATGTGTGTGTATTAATTATTAAATATTAAAAAAACTATTAAAACGTGATTGTGTAGAAGCCAAAAAACTATAAAAATATGTTAACGCCAAGATTTGAACTCATGCTTTGCCAACTAATCTAACTCACTTCTTGTTAACATTCATATGCTTTTTATACTAATACTTAAACTTGTATTGTATATACATATATACATACAAAGGTTATATATGGGGTGGGGGTGGGGTGAGGGGGGCAGTCTTTGGCTCCGTCCTTGCCCATATGGGAGTCCAACCTGAGTGCCATTAGACCACAAGCCAAGGGGTAATGAGTCATGGTCCAAAAATTATTTATATGAAGTTGATATATTCTGTACCTATAGTTAATCGTTTATGTGCTTATAAATAAATTGGATGCGCATAACATGTTAACTACAAACATATAAAATGGTAATTATAGACACGCAAACTATTAATTGCAGGTACAAAATATGCTAAGTGCAGACACATAATATGTTAACAGTATATTATGTGTCAATAGTTAACATATTTTGTAGTGTTTGTAGTTACCATGTTATGTGTATGTAGTTAACATGTTATGAACCTTTAATTTATTTACAGCCACATAAACGATTAATTGTGGGTTGCTGAGTTTGAAGATTATTTTGGACCAAGATTTACACTATAAGGTAAACCTTGGTCCATGGTATAATTTGTCGTGGACTCAGATCCAAATTAACATTAAGGTAATTATGTGCATGTAATTAATATATTACGGGTCTTCAGTTAACAGATTATATGCTTGTAGGAGTGGGCCTGGTTTAGAGAAGTCAAGGTTTACCCTCTCTCCAAATCATACACCTTCACATTGGCGTGCAAGTTGTTCTTGAGCATTGAGGGCCACAAGGAGGTTAAAAAACTGTCGGACCCTTTCATCCTCCTCACCTCCGGCCTGTTAAGCCTGCCGATCAACCTCCCTGGCACCGCCTACAACAACGCCATAAAAGGCGGGGGCATGGTGCGGTGTCAGCTCATGGAGGTGATTAAGGAGAGGAAGGCGGAGGCGATGATGAGTAGTTCAGGTAAGGTGGAGGATGAGGGGCGAGACTTGCTGGCCCGCCTCCTCAGCGCCACCGATGAGGAGGGACAACATATGAACGAGGAAGAGATTTGCAACAATATTGTTGGACTCCTCATTGCTAGCTACGATACTACCAGTGCCGCCATAACTTTTATATTGAAGTATCTTGCAGAACTTCCCCATATTTATGAACAAGTCTATAAAGGTAAACAATAGCGCAGCTAGTTGTAGATAGAGCCGTCAAAATGGTCTCGCGGGGCGGGACGGACCAAAATACACCAAAGCCCGTCCTCGTAGCGGGACGGGCTAAAAAGCCCGCCTCTTAGCGGGCTTGGAATGTTGTCGGCCCGGCCCGGCCCGCCATGCCAAAGCCCGCTGGCGGGGCGGGCTAGCCCGCCAATCAATATTTTCACTGTGTTAATTTTTTTGTTTTAAAAAAAAAAAATTCACTATACAATATCCTTCAAAAAAAAAAAAAAAAAAAAAAAAAAAAAAAAAAAAAAAGGAATCACTGTGCAGACGTACAGTACACTAACACAGTAACACTACCTAGTATGGTATTCCTATAAATCTATAATCCTATAAGTTATAACACACTAACACAGTTACACAAACCAAAATAACACAAAAAATAATATGTATTAAATACTAAATATATATACAAAATATATATGTATTAGCAGGTCGCGGGCTAAACCCGTGACCCAGGCGGGGCGGGCTAAAAAGCCCGCCTCCTGGCGGATCAAAATTTGAAGAACCCGTCCCCTACCTACGGCGGTACGGGACGGGTCGACCCGGCGGGTAAAATCCATTTTTGACGGCTCTAGTTGTAGATATACTACTTTTTAATTAAAATAAATAAGTATTATATTTAAACTCAAAATATAGTTCCTTTTTTTTTAATAACTTTAACATGTTACCTGTTGCCGTTCAAATCATCATTCAAAATATTTAATATAATTCTCAGAAAAAAGATAATTAAGTGACTGAAATATGATTTTAATTATATAATTTCCTATCTGAAAGTTACAATATTTTATTTTATTTTTGCAGAACAAATGGAGATTGCCAAGTCCAAGGGTCCAAAAGAGAGATTGAGTTGGGAAGACATTCAGAAGATGAAATATTCATGGAATGTAGCATGTGAAGCACTAAGGATATTCCCACCAGGGCAAGGTGCCTTTAGAGAGGCTGTCACTGATTTTACCTATGCTGGATTTACTATTCCAAAAGGATGGAAGGTTAGTCATAAACATGCATGCATGATAGATAGATTATACTCATTATAGTACTCAAAAAGCTTAACTTGTTAATCTATCATTGCTCAAACTAAATGGACATAGATTGTTTTCAAAAAAAAAAAAAAAATGGACATAGATTAAAATATATGTGTGCATGGGTAGTTCGATCACTCCCTCCGTCCCTAATTGATTGTCTTATTTGCTTTTTTGCACGGAGTTTATTACTCCGTATAACATAGCAAATTGTACTAACTTTCTAATTTTGCCCCTCAAAAGTAGGTGTTATTTGTACAAAGTACAATTGTACTTACCTCTAGAAATTTGAAAAGTCAAAAGGGTAAATTGGGAAATGTAGAGTGATAGTTATGTTCAATTTTAAAAATATGACACTATTTTGGGACAAACTAAAAAGGAAACTAAGACAGGTAAAATGATACGGAGGGAGTAATATTCAGGTGTAGATTGTGTATAAGGGTGTAAAATGACCAAGACTTAATATAATAATCGCAGTGTAGGAGTTACACCTAATATGGTATAGACTCTTTGTGAGCACCAGACATGAGTTCTCGCATCTAATGTGGTATCGTGATTTACTCCTTCACAATAATATTGAGTCAGGTGTATAGGCCTCACGACCAGAAATTTCACCTTTTGTGAGCAATATATTAAAATATTTTTAAAAACTTTTTCGATAATATTTTAACCTCTACTTTTGTTGGTGATTGATATTACCAACACACTTCCAGTTAATAATAAATGAAAAATAAAAGAAATGAGCTAACAAAGCGTTTGCTTGAAGGGAATTTAAATTCCGTTCCCACCTAATTTCAAAGGCGACAAAAGTTCATTGTTTAGTTGAAAGGAATTGCAATTCCATGGAATTACAATTCCCCCAATTTCATGGAATTAAAATCTCATGTCCCCTGGGATTTTAATTCCTGGGATGTTAGGAAGAAAAAAAAAAATAGTGATGAGTCAAAATTACCCCTTCCTTTTTAACCTAAAATTAATGCCTAAAAATAACAATCGACATTTTTGACTTTATACTACTTATTTTCTTTCAATTCTCATGTATATCAAACATTGGAATTGAAATTCCTGTAATTCTATTCCTGTAAACCAAATAGTGAAATTTAAATTCTCATTTTATTCCCAGTAATTCATCCCCATGGAATTGCAATTCCTTTCCTATGTAATTCCGCCTCCCCAACCAAACGCCCGGTAAAAATTTTTCAAATCCCTAACATCATCGGAAATGCCAGGCACTCCAGATCAAGATCTAATAAATTTCCGGTGATAAGAAATCTCAAAAATTTCAACCCTAGGTTAATGTTGTGCCACTATATATACCTGCATTAATTAATTTGTTACCAGGCCACTTGAGTTCTAAAAGAAACTCATAACTTTTTGTTTTTGTGAGTGACATTTGTTCGTACAGACGTTTTGGAGTGTGTACTCAACACACAAGAATCCTAAATATTTTCCAGAACCAGAAAAATTTGATCCATCAAGATTCGAGGGAAGTGGACCAGCACCCTACACTTATGTGCCGTTCGGCGGCGGGCCGAGAATGTGTCCCGGAAAAGAGTACGCTCGGCTGGCAGTGCTTGTGTTCATACACAATGTTGTCACCAACTTTAAAATGAAGAAACTTGTGCCAGATGAAAAGATAGTCTACCATACATCGCCGATTCCACTCAATGCCCTTCCTGTCAGACTTACACCCCATCACAAATAACTCTTTTGCTGCACTGCAAAATATATACATATATATGCTTAATAAATCAAATACTTGTATTTCTCTCTCTCTCTCTATTAATATAATCCCAATAAAATATGAGATGAAGAAATTTTTTAGGCTCTTCTTCTATGTAAAATGATTGTACATGCATGGGACTATAAATGTTATGTCTTAGGCCATCTCCATTAGTGCATTTTGCACAATTTGTTAGAGTAACATAGGTGATGTGGAGAAGAGAAATGTAGGAAAGAGAAAATGTGAGCTCCTCACTTCCGGCAAGGAGTGGGTTTTTTTTGTAGTTCCCACGGCACATATGAGACATACACAACACAAATTAACTGATCAGAGTACATGATGCTCTTCTTCTTAGTCTAAGCAATGCTCTTCTTCTTAGTCTAAGCACACTTGAGTGAGATCGTCACACAGATTCTTATCCGTGAGACGTGTCTGGTCGAGCCAATATGAAAATCTAATATTTATACTAAAATATGTGTAATACTAATCATGTGAATAAAGTGTAATATTTTTTAGAAAAAATGTAATACTTACATTTTTTAACAAAAGTATTACACTTGTCCTTATAAGAAATGTTGGCAAGTATTTTGTTACCGGAAAAAATGTAATACTTATGAGAAAAAATATAATACTTTTAAATCAAAAAACAAAAGTATTACACTTACTAATAAAAGCTTTATTCCTAATAAGTATTATATTTTTTTGTATAAGTATTATATTTTCATATTGACTCGAATATCCGACGCGTCCTAAGGACAAGGATCCGTGAGACGGTATCACACAAGTTTTTGCCTTACAATTTACGTAGGAACATAATATTGTAAATGATAGGCAAGGAGGAAACATAGTTCCATTCTCAAAACAGTTTAGGTATATGTACAAACACGTGAGCTACGCAAGTAACACTAAACATCAAAGCTCAAACATCCTATATTTTCTGATTCTTGAAATTCAACTGCAAATCCAAAATTGGAACACAAGCAATCATTGAATGCGATATGCTAAAATGATAGGCTTGGGAGAAGGCCTCGTGTGTACGTGTTCCTCTTCTTTCTTCTGAATTTTAGTTGATGATTCTTTCTTTGTTTTCCCTTGTCTCTGCTTCTACCTCAAGAAGAGTATTTGATGTCACAACAGAGTGAAACTCAGCACTCAGCGGGAGCCTCCATGACGGGAAACAAGTAATGAACGATAAATTGCAGCAATATACAGGAAGAACATGAACACGAAAATGAGATCATCCAGGAAGCCAATTATACCCAGAACTCCTGACAAGAATGAAATAGGTGGGGAAGGCCGGTTACTTAAAAAACAGAAAGAAAATCCTCCATGGCAAACATCGGATTATAGATTTTAAAAAAAAAAAAAAAAAAAAAGAGCCAGCTTAGTACCTTCTGGAATAATGTCAATAGGGCTGAGGACATAGAGTACGCTTAAAAAAGTCTGCAAAATGAAGATTGCATAAAATTACATATCAAATAAGGGGTGGGTTCAAATACGATTTAGCACCATTATCTATAGGATTAATGTAAATCAGGTTGTCAAAAGGCACCAATGTTCCCTTCAACAGCAGGTTACAGAGTTTCTGTGCCAGTGGTAGAGTGGCTGCTACTATCAATCAATAAAGAAGATTGGGCGAGGCAAAGAGACCTAACAGGTTAACAATACTGTTAGGATCAAGCGCTTACCACTTACGCCAAAGCTATAGCTATAGCTAGTAGCGAAGGCGCAACTTTATTTCATTATAGACCGCCCCATTTTCGAGACGCTGGGTGCTGGACTTGGCCTTTACACTTTACCGGCCTCCGCCCAACAAATACATTTTCCCCTAAAGAGAAGAAAAAGAAGCTAGCCACAGAACCCAACTCTCTATAGTTTTTTTTTGAAAGATACCCAACTCTCTATAGTTAGTAAAGACAAAAAAGGGAGAGCTCCGCAAGCCCCATAGCTTGAGGACAGCGAATGACTCTTGGTTTACCTAGACAAGGTGCAGCCTCCTAGACCATAACAGACGTTCAAGTCAGCCCTTTCTCTGATGTATTACCTCCCACCCCAGCCCCAGGTAAAAAAAAAAAAAAAAAAAAAGTAAGGCTTGTAACCAAACAATTTCTCATTTTCCTAGTTCTTAATAAATAAATAAACAAGTACTAGATTGTTTCAATATGACCCACTACCAATATCAACTATTCCAAATAGCTTCACTATTACATGTTCTGAGAGTCCAACAGAAAGAAGAGTAACAACATTTGAGATGTTAGGCAAGACAACAAAAGCGGAGTGTATCTAAGAGCCAAAGAAAGCGGGGGCAAATCACATAATGTTGGATATATAGTTATAATTTGCATCAATGACTTACAGCCAGATATACGCGCGTCCGGATAACAAATGGAAGAGATCTTTGAGGGTCTGTAATCTCTCGCAACAATCTCCTGAGGAGAAAAGGAAGATCTTGCAATTTCTGACAAAAAAAAAAGAGGAGCATATTATCATTATTGTATTTGTTGAATCAGTGGATAATTAGAAGTGGCAACACCGTTGATAGTTGTTAAACAATGAACTTAAACTTGTATATTTCTATATGTTCTGTGTCGATGTACAAGTATAGAGCTATTTATATAAGACAAGAACTAATCCTAGCCATAGATTTCAAACACCTAAAACTAAGGCTAGGAGAGATCCTCTCAACTAACACCCTATTCCTCTAACAATAGTTATGGTAGCTAAAGTTTAAAAAAGAAAAGGTATATATTAGTATATTACAGTTACATTTGAAAGATCTTCCATTTCAAAGATTTTGCAACAATATGGATAACATCAAGAATAATCACAACCCCATTCCATTCCATTATTACATTAAAGTATCTTAGCCCCCCTCTTCAAATAAAAAGAAAAAAGTGAAGGCATCTCTTCTCAGGGAAAAGATTAGCAGTTATACCTTCAGCAACAATTGATATGAAAAATAATCTAAAACAGTAACGCAACCTTGTATCCATAATGTCATTAAAATAATGCAGGCAAAATGCCTACATGTCAATTAGATTTCTACACATAGATCAAGTACTGTCATGGTTAGTAGGTTCAAAATAAAAGTGCTCCTTCAAGGATAAATGAATTTTCACCACACTTAAATAGTTCAAAGAAATTAGACGCTTTTAATCCAGTGGACATGTGTGAACAGGAGCCGTAGACTAAGGAGTTTCACATTTTAATCAAAGGTGAATATTTTGGAATGGGGTTTGCCAACAAAAAGCAGGTCTAAAACTCAGTGCCAAATATGTACGTGTCGCTCTAAAGCAGAAGCAAAGATTGTTACAAAATCCTCAGTGGCAGCAGTAGTACCAGACTCTCTTTCCCTTTTCATAAATGTTAAATTACAAGGCTCACATCTTATGCTGTTTACCAATTTAAAGTAGTTGAATATTAGGAAACCTTTATTGAATATTAGGAAACTCCTAGTAGGAGTGGGCTTAGTTTCCTATTGCTATTAGGATTGATTTAGTATATATAGAGGTGCATAGAAACACAGTGAGACAATAAATTGTTATCTTTCATTATAATATATTCTTTCTATTCTCTTTTTCTTTGGTTTCTCACATATTTTGCTTCCGCCTAAGTGGCCTTGGTTGTTATTCTCCACCCGCCAAGAATCCCACAATTTCAACAAAAGAGAAACAGAAAAGTTGAACTACATAGGCTTGAGAATTAAACAAAAATGAGGACACTGATTAAAACAAGAAATAAAATAAAATTGTCAATATACATAACATACAAGCACTCAGACCTATATTAATAACCAAAGGACAAGCATAAATAACTAAAGTCCCCAAAGCCAGAAGTGCTCAAATCAAACTGAGATTCCCAGTGTGAGAGACTCATGTCATATTATTTTATTTGTAAAGAGAATGTGTTAGCTTAAAGCATGTGGTGTCCACAAGGGCCCAATGAACATAGTTTTGCATAGTTGAATGCAAACATGAACATGACCACCTCGCAAAAATGTTCAAGAATCTGAGAGTTAGACTGAGAATGCAAAAAGGGCAAACTAAGTACCTGAAGAAGTCCATTGCTCTGCTGACCATATAAACGGTTATAAGTTTCAATTCTTGTAAAAACATCAGACACTTCAGGACTTTGGCACTGCCTTGATGAAGCTTCAGAAGGAACCAACAAAGTAATCTGGCGACGACACAATGGACATTTACACGGCTGAAGGGCTGATCCATGATTCCAAACTTGTAGAATACAATTTCCTGTAATGGGAAAAGCAAAATGGGTGAAATGTTATCAAGTATAAGAAAATGAAATTTAAATAGCTACTGCTCCAAAATGCTGAAAGCATTGCTTCAACTTCTTAACATAAGTATGCTATGTTTGCACGGCTAGAAAGGTATATCTGAATCTGACTCCAATATGACAGATATATCAGCATACTAGTAGTCCAATGTTCAAACTTGAAGGTATGTTGATTTCTAAGTCCAACAAGTTGAATGGTATAACTCCTGAGCTATGAGGTTTACCTCTACAAGAACACCAACAACTTCATTCCCAGCAAACTAATTTAATCCAAAGAAAACCTCTGTACTCAAATGAGGGGTAGGAAAACTTTCAGGTGATAAATTACAGCTAAGAATAGTACAAGCTCCAGTCATTTGCCCATAACACTTGTTATGACTTCTATAGAATAGCTTTTATGAGTCAAACTCCGCTAAGCGTTCAGCTCATCCAAAGTGAACATAGTTAAATGTGAACATCCAGTGAACAATCAGTTCTAATAATATAAACAATCAGTTAAGTCAAGGAGAATAATGGTCCTACTCGCATCTATCATAGTTTTTATGCGTTTCTAGGCTGCACGGCCTCTGTTAACATCTCCGGCAGCTCTACACTACAACTCCAGTGGAATAACATCTACTACTAAAATCCGATCCCAATTTGGCAAAGCAATAAACCGAAATCTGCTACCACAATTAGCACAATCTATGTAATTAGATACTGCTGCGATACTAATTTCACTGTAAAACCTACATACACACAGAGAGAGGGAGAAATACGCACCGCAAAACCAGTGGGAGCAATTAGCCTGGCAAGGAATGTGGAAGTTGCCATGGCATACTGAACAAAAATCGTTCTCCGGCGGCAAGTCCATTGCAATCGGAGGATCCTCTGTCTCTCTCTCTCTCTCTCGCTCCCTCTCAGATTGATTAGTTAATTAAGGAATGGATGGCGAAGTTGACGAAGCGGTTAATCCAGAAGTGATGAATTTACTTAACTCGTAAGATTTGATGTCTCTGGCTTCTGGTTGTCATGCCTCATGCGCTTTCCGTCCGTTTTCATAGTTTTTCCTTTTTCGTTTTTCTTTCTTCGAATTTGTCCTAGACTACTATGGACTATAATTTACTTTACATTGAGGACTATTATGTAAAATAAGACAAATGAAACATCAATCATGGACTATGATCTACTTTACATTGACGACTATCGTATAAAATAAGAGAAATCGTAGTTTTTCCTTTTTCGTTTTTCTTTCTTCGAATTTGTGCTAGACTACTATGAACTATAATCTACTTTACATTGAGGACTATCGTATAAAATAAGACATATAGGACATCTATCATGGACTATGATCTACTTTACATTGAGGACTATCGTATAAAATAAGACAAATAAGATGTCTATCATGAACTATGATCTACTTTACATTGTAGACTATCATATATTATTTGTGTACTGAATATATAGTTACATTGTATACTATCAAATAATGTATATTCGTGTATATATATATATATATATATATATATATATATATATATATATATATATATATATATATACACGAATATACATTATTTGATAGTATACAAAATAATGTATTTTTAGTTCTCAAATAATGTACTTTATGTACACAAATAATGTACTATTTATTTATGGTCTCCACAATAATGATTGGCAAAATAATCAAAAGATTATGGCCTTGTTTGGTAAAAAATTGGCCTATAGGCCAATTTTGGCTTATTTGACTATTATTAATTGTTTGATTTAGTTAAAGGCCGTGTTTGGTAAAAAATTGGCCTATAGGCCAATTTTGGCTTATTTGACCACTATTAATTGTTTGATTTAGTTAAAATATCAATAGAAATGTTTGGTTAATTAGCTTTTTGCAACTCCAAAAGGCTAAAATTCAAAAAGCTACTCCAAACAACTTTTTCAATTAGCTTTTTGAGAAAAGAAATTATACCAAACAGCTATCAGCTAACAGCTAATTTACCAAACACTTTTCTACAATTATCTAATGTTATCAACTATTTATACTCTTTAATTAACACAATCAGCTAACAGCAAACAGCTACCAGCTAACAGCCATTTTACCAAACAGGGTCAAAATATCAATAGAAATATTTGGTTAATTAGCTTTTTGCAACTTCAAAAGGCTAAAATTCAAAAAGCTACTCCAAGCAACTTTTTCAATTAGCTTTTTGAGAAAAGAAATTATACCAAACAGCTATCAGCTAACAGCTAATTTACCAAACACTTTTCTACACTCATCTAATGTTATCAACTATTTATATCCTCTAATTAACACAATCAGCTAACAGCAAACAACTATCAGCTAACAGCCATTTTACCAAACAGGGCCTATGTGTTTGCAATTGACATATTTTGCACATGCACTTAATTGTTTATGTGTTTGTAAATAAAATGAAGGCACATAACATGTTAGTACAGACACATAAAATGTTTACTGCAAAAACATAGACAGTTAATTAAACCCTTGACGTGCATATTAGGGTTTCTCTAATTCTCCCTCATCTCTGGTTTTCGAACGCTCAAATTTCTACACGGTTGCCGCTTCTGTGAAGTAAGAGGATCGGAGGCGGAGTCCGATCGTCTTCCCTTGCTGCCATCTCCACCGCGGACAGCGTTTGCCTTTATTGTCTTTTCTGTCTTCACCGTCTTGTCTTCCGTTTCCCACTTTCGCCACCGGTTACGCCTTGCCCCACCCCTCCATCTCCACCGCTACCGGTCGTCGTTTCTCTCTTATTTTCGCACTGTTGCTTCCCTTTGCTTTGTTTTACTTGTTTAATTTTGTTTGCAATTTATGTGTTTTTCCTCTCATTGTTTTGACAAGTTTCTTCATCTCGTTTACTTGGCGAGTTCTTTTTCATAAATTGTGAAACGATAAAACTGGTTATGGCGGATGTGAACCTCATCCTGGGGACAAATATGACAATGAAAAAACGACTCCTCTGAACTATGATATGAAGTTTAGCCCGATGGTGATATTGTCAATGGATAGAAGAATGGAAATAGATACTCATGTGGTGTGCAAGACTATTCAACCAGTGTCAGTCTTAGGTACGTTTGACCAAATCATTAAAGAAGTTTTAAGTTCATCCAAAGAATTCAGATTCAAATTTGTAAAACAATCTGCGAATCAAGTTTTCTGTAGCATTGCTAGGGAAGTTGTTTCTATGTCTGACTGTAAGGAATGTTTGACCATTCCATCGATCTTTATTGTAAACGTGTCAGCCTATGATTAATGAATTAGCTTCTTTATTTTAAAAATAAAAAAATAAAAAAATACATACACTGGTAACTGCATGTACATAATACGTTAACTGCAGAATATAATATGTTAACATATTTCGTACCTGCAGTTAACAATTTATGTGTCGATCTGTAGTTCACATGTTATGTGCTTTCAATTTAGTTATAGACATATAAATTATTAACTGCATGTACATAATATATCAATTGTAGACACAATTTTTGGACCAGGGTCCTTAATGCAAGATGAACCATGGTCTATGGTATGGCAAATTCGGTCCACACAGCTACGGTCCAAAACGACGTTGTTTTGATGTTAAAAAAATACATTTTCTGTTCCAAACATGTGTTAGAATAATGAACATTTTTGGGGTAAGATAATGTATTTTATGAGTTAGAATAATGCACTTTGTGTTAGAAGAATGCATTTCATGTGTTAGAATAATGTACTTGATATGTGTTAGCATAATGAAATTTTTGGGGTAAGATAATGTATTTTATGAATTTGAATAATGTACTTTATGTGTTAGAATAATGTATTTTATGAGTTAGAATAATATATAATGTTTTTGTGTTAGAATAATGAAATTTCTGAGGTAAGATGATGTATTTTATGAGTTAGAATAATATATTTTATGCGCTAGAATAGTGTATTTTATGAGTTAGAATAATGTACTATATTTGTTTTTAGACCATACAATAATTTTTTGGAATAAGGGTCAAATAGGCCATCGAACTGCACACAATAAAATAATTAGGCCACTGAACTTAAAAAACCAACAATTGGGTCCCTAAACTAATCAATTTCAAACAATTCTTTCAATTAGAAGGTTTCCAACAGGTCAACAGGTCAACAGGTCATCCTTCCAAATTAATTATTTTTTAAAATTTAAATTTTAAAAATTAATTATTTAAATTAAAAAAAAAAAAAAAACAAAAACTGGTTCCAGCCGGAGACGGTCTTCTCCGGCTGGATTCCAGTTTTTTTTTTTTTTAATTTAATTTAAAAATAATTAATTTTTAAAATTTATATTTTAAAAAAATAATTAATTTGGGAGATGACCTGTTGACCTGTTGGAAACCTTCAAATTGGAAGAATTGTTTGAAATTGATTAGTTTAGGGACCTAATTGTTGATTTTTTAAGTTCAATGGCCTAATTGTTTTATCGTGTGCAGTTCGATGGCCTATTTGACCCTTATTCCTAATTTTTTTTGGTGGGGGCAATTCACGCAATAATGATTGTCAATTTGTAATGCTATAACAAATGATTCGTATGAGGAGTTAATATCTCCAATGATCCTCTGAGTATTAGGATCTTACTAGGTATATATTCGGTGACGGCAAAATGTAGTATATATGAATGCATATCTATTTATTGAATACAGATATTCGATCTTGCACATGTTACACATAGTGATTAGGGAAAGAGATTAACTATTAACAATTTCGGCAGCGCTCACAATTTCGGTGAGGGCAAAATGATAATGGCGACCTACGAACTGAACGAAGCGCTTAAGGATTAAATATATGAGAAATGACATATTTGCTTTTACATTTAATGTCCATTTCACATCAAACCTAACACAAAATTACATATGGTTATTTTTTAAAACTTGAAGAATATCTTGTGATCGTTTTAAATTCGAAGGACTACACCTGGTAAGATCCTAATACTCGGAGGACAATCGTTATGCTATGGACCTGTGTCCAGCATGCATGCTGGACACGGATAACAGTGCCGTTAGTGGCACTGTTATCTTCCACTTTTTTTTTTTTTAATTTCAGACCGCTTCGTTATAGGAGTATATGTTCATAATTTTATTACTATATGTTCATAATTGTAAGTTCATAATGTCAGAGCTCTATGTTCATAATTCCATAACTGTATATTCATACTTCCATAACTGTACATTCATAATTTCATAACTGTACATTCATAATTCAATAACTGTAACTTCATAATTTTCGAAGCTCTATGTTCACAATTTTAGAGCTCTATGTTCATAATTTTATCACTATATGTTCATATTATAAGTTCATAATGTCAGAGCTCTGTGTTCATAATTGCGTAACTGTACATTCATAATTGCATAACTGTACATTCATAATTCAATAACTGTAAAATCATAATTTTCGAAGCTCTATGTTCACAATTTTAGAGCTCTATGTTCATAATTTTATCACTATATGTTCATAATTGTAAGTTCATAATGTCAGAGCTCTGTGTTCATAATTTTATAACTTACATTCATAATACTGTACATTCATAATCCCATAACTGTACATTTATAATGGCACAAACGAATAACGCCGTTAACGTCGAGACAAAATCAATTTTTTTTTTAATTGAAAAGATACGTTTTTCCTTAAAACGACATCGTTTTGGACTCGCGTCCATAATACATTATGGACACAGATCCAGAGCATAATTTGCGCTTGGAGGACTATTGAAAGTATTAACTCTTCATATGAGTATTATTATTGGGACAAAGATATTGGGCCATTGTCAAAACGGACGTGGGCAATGAAGCATGAATAATTATATCATGAACTACTTATTCTAGGGTAAAAAGAGGCAAACTATATCATGGATTATGGTTTATCTTGCATTATAAACCTTAATTCAAAAATAATATTTAGATTTTATACCTGTAGTGAACACATTCCATACCTATATAATTATATAATCATTTATACACTTGTAAAATGTAAATAAATTGAAAGCACATCACATGATAATTACAGACATCTATATCTATATCTATCTATCTATATATATATATATAAGTAAAATCCTC